AAAAAAAAAAGGAGGGCACTCAACTTCTATATAAACGAGATCCGATGAAGTCACTGAAATGTCACTCCATTCTGAATTCTCAAAATGAACACTGCCCAACGAACTCATTGCAACTAATTACGAACTCATTGCAACTAATTACTTCAAACAATTTAAAAAATCGAACTTCCTTTTTTTGGTTGTAAAGAAGAATATTTGAACTCTCGTATAAATAAGTTGCAACAAGTTTCAGACCATGGCGGATTTGGTGCATGGTCCTGCAAGCTTCTGGACTCAAGCCAATGCTTTGCTCAGAAAGAATTTGATTTTTCAGGTTTGTTTCTCTGTGTTTTTTACACTGTCTCAAAATTTAGTTAAATTGAGTTTATCTGCTTTTTGGAATTCAAGTTCAATATTTAGTTACCTCTTTGGCCTGTTGTTGGTGCTGAGCTAAAACAGCAAAGGAAGCTCACATGCAAAGAGAAGAACTAAAAACGAGCTTAGCTCGTACAAAGAGAACTGCTCCTATTTAAATATCTGGCTAATTAGCTAACAAATCACTAACCCAGTACTTCTATTATGTACACTTTAGTCCCTTGTATCACAGGCTGACATTCTGATATTACTCCTAACAGTTGGGTTCATTTCTGTCCATGATATTGTAAAATATATGATTGACGTTTAAAGGTTGTGTCTTCTTCGGTTTTTTCAGAACAATAATTTAATTAAGGGGTTCTATTTGTGTCTAAAGCAAAAATTAGGTTTTTTTTAAAGTAGTCTTTCTCAGGTGAAAATGTAATATTTACATATCAAATAGTTTTTTCATTTCATGATTCTAGTCTGAAATGGTATATTTACTGTTCCCTTCTTATTTTATTGCAGAAACGAGATGTCAAGTCTAATATTCGCCTCATCTCAGTCCCTATAATACTTTGTTTATTGCTAGTTCTCATTCAAAATTTAGTCAACAAAAATTTGGATACACCATCAAACAGATGTGGCTGCAAATGTGTTGACAAAAATGGTGATGGAAAATGTGAACAAGTATGTGGTATCGAAAATTCAGATTTGGGCCAAGCCAGCAACTGTCCGATTCCTAGCCCATCTGAATGGCCTTCCTTGTTACAGATACCAGCATCAAAGTATCGTGCTGTACAAACTGATTTTATTTCATATGGGGACTTGCCCGATGATTCGTGTAAAATGTCGGGTTCTTGTCCAGCTACTATACTTCTCACTGGAAGTAATCAGACTTTTGGAGAGAGTATGAATTGTTTTCCTTTGATCCTAGTACTATACCAGAATTAAGTTGAGTATTTTCTCTGATACCGTTTCTAATGTATGTCCAATTAATGTGTAACTTGATAGGTATGGGTAGAAATTTGTTCAGCAGTGGATCAACTCTAAATTCCTCTGACATTTTCTATAGCTTAGCCTATAATATCTTGGTGAGTCTTTCTCCATTTAGCTTATTCTATTTTTCTTTTTCCCTTGAGATTCACCGTACATAGGTTGAAACTTTACTCTTTGTTTGATGATGAATCACCTTCCAAATTTTCAGGGTTCCGAGTCACACACCGAGTATGTGAATTTTCTTGAGGCAGCTTTCTTCTCCAACCTGCCAGTCTACTACGTCCAATCGCAGTGTTCTTCAAATTCCACATTTTCTCTTCCATTAGACTTTGATTCTGTAGCTGTTCAGCAAGGTAGTAGATTTATGTTCATTACTCCTTTCTTACGGATTGGCGTAACTGGTAAAGAAGTTTGCTGCCATGTAACTAGGAGGTCACGGGTTCGAGCCGTGGAAACAACCTTTTGCAGAAATGCAGGGTAAGGCTGTGTACAATAGACCCTTGTGGTCCGGCCCTTACCCGGACCCCGCACATAGCTGGAACTTAGTGCACCGGGCTGCCCTTTTACTGCTTTCTTACTAACCTTAACCTTTTTTTATGTTAGATATTGCATGTGTAAAATTCAGGAAAAGGCACAAGGCTTAGGCTTAAAAAGTAGGCCTTAGTTTAAGCTTTTGCCGTAAAAGTTGAGTCTACATCTCATGGTTATGGTGTGATCCAAGTAGGATAAGTTTCTATTACGGAAGATCTTTTTAGCTTTACATGTTGTACTTCAGCCCCATATATACTTTTCAACTATCCAATTGAATTCTTAGGTTTTTACATTGACATGTTTGTAATCAATGGGAAGATAAGAACATCGCCTGACATCCTGCCTAGGAAAGCTTCTGGATATACGAGTTGTCAAGTGTTGTCGAAGAAAGCTGGACCCTTCTACACAAACAAGTTTATGTCTTTTCCATATTGGGTTTATGTATAGTTTATAGCTTTGTTAATTTTCTGCTACAGAGATAAGCTGCTTAAAAGGTCTACACTTGTGGCGTAATAGTTCTTATGAGATCAATGATGAGCTTTATAAAGGTTACAGGAAGGGGAATCAAGAGGGAAAGATAAACGAGATAATAACAGGTTTTTCTGGTGCTCTCTGAATGAATATCCTTTAGCATAGCCATGCTATTTCAGTATCATCTTACTATGTATGATCTTTTTTTTATGGCAGCATATGATTTCCATAATTCAAATATGAATGGTTTCAATGTGAATATTTGGTATAACTCTACCTATAAGAAAGACAAAGGCAATCTACCAATGGCATTGTCAAGGATTCCTCGTTTAGTGAATTTGGTAAACCTTCCAATTTCTACTGCCATGTTCTTCTGTATGCAAATTACCCTCGATCCTTGTAAATTTGGTGTTGTCTTGACATAGAAAAGTAAAGGGAATCCTAAATAGAATTTAGAAAATTAGTTCCATTTACTTGAGTAGGGCATGACTAGGCAACGGATGAATATTTGGAGAACTCAGTGCATTTTATCTTCAATATTGTTGTTCCCCTTTTCCCCTGCTTTATGGTGCCCTTAAGCTCTCAAATACATTTACATATATATCTGGAGATGTGAGTCTGTGTAAATAGTTAAATGCATTCACATATCAACATGCACGCGCACAAGTGTATAAATAACATTTGCTGTATGCTCTTAAAGTTGAAAAGAGAGTTGTGTTAATTTTATACTCTATGACTGCCTTGTCTTACAAGCAGCAGCTGTTGTTGAAGTAGCTAAAAGTGGTAACCCTGATCATCTTTATGCTTTGCGGTGAAACAGGATGAAGTAACTTCATTTGCATTTACAAACGTTATAGTGAGCTCATCATATTGTCAAATAGTCCAGTTAATTAGCAAGAACCATACTGTATCAACATTGACCATTACTAAGAAAAATCAAGTTGTTTGTTTCTTATCCCACTAGCAATACAAAGGTCATCTGATTTTCCTCACATTGCACTTCTTCTTCCCAACTTGTTTGGGACTGAGGCATAGCTGTTGTTACAACACTTCTTGACTGAATGCAATGAATATCTCCATCTACAATCTGTGTTAATATTTATGAAAGACTAGTTATAGTTGTACTAAACCTATTTAAGTAACTGATGTGTTTAATTTTGCTAATTGTTATGTACAGGCATCAAATGCCTACCTTCAGTTTTTGCTTGGACCTTCTGCAAGAATGCTCTTTGAGTTTGTCAAAGAAATGCCCAAAGCAGAAACAAAACTCAGCCTGGACTTTGCTTCTATCCTGGGACCACTATTCTTTTCATGGGTGGTTTCACAACTTTTTCCTGTAAGTAAATATGTTCTGTTCAAGTGGATATATTCTGTTCTAGCATGATATGTTCTGTTATTTTGTGATGGGACTTGTTCAATTGACCATCTCAATCATGTCAGACAAATCCGTATTAATGCTATCCATTGATGCCAACTTTTCAGCTATCCATTTCCCAGATGACTTTCTTGGCATTCATCAACTGCCTTGTTTAATATTGACCTCTTTTTGTGTGTTGGAGTCATGAGGAGTGAAAGTTAACTCCTTATGCAGTCACACTATATGACTTTTAAGTCTTTCTTTTTCCTTTTTGGCTGAACATGGTTGATTACTTGGTTCATGTACGAGAATGAAAATCTGATTTATTTGATGGAAGAACTAAGAAAATATTGCTCCCTCCATTTCAAATAATGTGTCTGACTTTCCTTATAAGTCTGTTTTAAAAAAATGTTTCTTTCTATTTTTCTAAGTTTTTATCTCCAACATTCCCATATGACACTCCTTCGTAGGAACGACATCATTGACATGGCATGTTTAAAACCACAAGATTTAAAGGGTATTTTTGGATTGTAATACACACCTTTAATTTAGGAGCACAATATTCAAAAGTCTTCTTTACATTCTTAAATTCCGTACTTAATCAAACTACGACACATAAAATGAAATGAATGGAGGGTGTCAGTCTTCTTTAACTCAGTACATTGTCAATCATGAGGTTTTTCAGAATGTAGTGCAGCTTTCGACGATCATATCTCTGAAACTCCTCACTGTTTATTTTCTTTAAAACACCATCATGCTTGGTAAAGTTTATCTTCTTATTTGTAATACAGTGATTGCATATACTTATTAGCCTTTATACAGATGGTATCTTTTTATTTATCATATAGATTCTATTTATTTTTATGCTCGAAATATTTATTGCATGATTAATTGTTGCAGGTTGTTTTGATAGCTCTAGTTTATGAGAAGCAGCAGAAACTAAGAATCATGATGAAAATGCATGGACTTGCGGATGGTCCCTATTGGATGATTTCTTATGCTTATTTTTTGGTCATATCTTCTGTATACATGTTATCTTTTGTGATTTTCGGCTCATTAGTAGGTAATCCTACAGCTACTCAGTTGAGTCCTTTCTATTAACTAGAGTTGCCTGACAAAACTTTCCTTTTTCCTCTCTTTTCCCTTTTGCAGGCTTGAAGTTCTTTTTGCTTAATGATTACAGCATCCAGTTCGTGTTTTACTTCATTTACATAAACTTGCAAGTGTCCCTTACTTTTCTAGTTGCTGCGTTTTTCTCGAATGTTAAGACAGCCACAGGTTTGATTTCAGCAATAGAATTTGCTGTTTATATTACAAGGATTGCATATGAAAGAGAACGTTTATGAGAAGGATGAACCATTTTTTCCTATTAACTTTCAGCAACTAACATGATATAACTAATTCTGCTTACTTGACATTGTAACAGTCATCGGCTATATTATGGTGTTTGCAAACGGACTCTTGGCAGCATTCCTTTTCCAGTTTTTTCTCCAGGATGAATCATTTCCCAGTAAGTTCAGAAATATTAAGGCAGGCTCGCCAAATCTATGATCGTCTAGCTGGAATTATAAATCATGATTTTCATAGTTGCACCATCTAGTCACCCTCCAAATTGATGACAACTCTGTTATATTGAAGCAGTATATTTGTACTGACCTGCAGTTCATTACGGATTGCATCGTTGAATTTCTACAGTGAAATTTAATAGCGTGGTTGTCTGTTTTATCTGCTTACCTACAGCTCTCAGAAAATACTAAATATTGTTTAAGTGAAGGAGAATACTGTCTGAGAAAGGATGGATAGGAGAGGCCAAAAGATTGACCAGAGGACTTTGCTTTTGCTTTTCACTTTTATGTACTAATCTTCTGGTAAATGCTGTCATGAAATTCTAGGAGGCTGGATTATAGTTATGGAGCTATATCCTGGATTTTCTCTTTTTCGTGGATTATACGAGTTTTCCCAATATGCTTTCAATGGTAATTATATGGGAACAGATGGTATGAGATGGAATGATTTGAGTGATGGAAAAAATGGGATGAAGGAGGTCCTAATAATTATGTTAGTGCAGTGGTTGGTGTTACTCTTTCTTTCTTATTACGTTGATCAGATTGCATCGTCAGGGAAAGATCCCCTATTTTTCTTGTGGAACTCCCGAAAGAACCCTTCACCTTCCTTCAGGAAACATAGCTTACTAAGGCAGGGATCTAAAGTTTTCGTACGGATGGAGAAACCTGATGTTGCTCAGGAGGTATAACATTTAACATTTCTTGTGAAAAATACTTTTTCCTGGGATATGTTTGTTCCTATCAACAAAACTAACCGTATGGAACCTCCTTTCAACAGAGGGAGAGAGTTGAACAGTTAATTGAATCGAGTACAACTCATGCCATCATTTGTGACAGTTTGAAAAAGGTTTATCAAGGGAAAGATGGAAACCCTGAGAAATTTGCAGTGAGAGGATTGTCACTTGCTTTGCCGCAAGGGGAATGTTTTGGTATGCTTGGTCCCAATGGTGCTGGAAAAACTACTTTTATTAATATGGTCAGTCATGTGGATGTGATCCTAATGTGTTAATAACTTTAAAATCACATTCTGAGTGCCCTTCATTTTGTTGTCAGATGTGCTGTATACTGACTCGTTTTTATTTATTTAGATTGCTAAAATGAAAACTCTACACCCTTAGAGTGACAATTTTTTACTAACAGATGATTGGACTCATAAAACCAAGCTCCGGTACTGCATATGCTCAGGGTATGGATATACGAACAGACATGGATATGATATACACCAACATGGGTGTATGTCCGCAGCATGAGTAAGGATTGATTTTCTCTCAAGTCAAGTTGATATTTGATCCCTCCCCCTTCCTGCAAATATCAGTGTCCTAATACTAATGTCTTTTTCGTTTCGGCATTTATATCAGCTTGCTTTGGGAAAATTTAACAGGAAGGGAGCACCTACTTTTCTACGGAAGGCTTAAAAATCTTAAAGGACCAGACTTGACACAAGTAGGTTAATGGCTCACTTCACTTTTACTGTGGCTTCTTAATGCTTGTAAAATTGAACTTATCAGTTATCATCCAAAATCTGTTACAAAAGGAATCTTGATTCAGCCTAAGTTTCATCCCATTAGCATTACTGATTAAATTTATTCTATACCTCAACTCCAGGATATCTTTACTGATATTATTGATTCCTCTACCCCCCCCCCCCCCCACCCCACCACACACACACCCCCCCAATCCTTAAAGTTCCTGTAATCTTCATGTTTTGGTGTTATAGGAATATGGGAAACAAATCGTCGAGGCGACTTGAAAGACAAAATCTTGGTAGACTTGACTCCTCATCCAAAGCAGAACTATTTTTTTCGGTTACTTATACTTTTCTGCGTACAGGCGGTTGAAGAATCCCTTAAGAGTATCAACTTGTTTCATGGAGGCGTTGCTGACAAGCAAGCTGGGAAATACAGTGGAGGAATGAAGAGGAGGCTAAGTGTTGCTATTTCACTGATTGGAGATCCTAAGGTATGTCAATTCTACCATCCATCCTCATGGGAAGACATACGGAGTTATGTGTATTAATATTCTTGTGGTTTATGAAATTTTCCAGGTGGTCTACATGGATGAGCCCAGTACTGGACTGGACCCAGCTTCGCGACATAACTTGTGGAATGTTGTCAAACGTGCAAAGCAAGATAGAGCAATTATTCTCACAAGTAATTTAACATTACTTCTTTTGTTTCTTTGTTTCCACCTTTGAAATGAACAAACATTGTGCAACTTACGGTAGTACTAACCAGTTGTATTTAGTGTTTCTCCGCGTGTTCTTGAAACAACATTATAAAGTGATCTTAAAGGTACTTATAATGGATATTATGCATTGTACAACGGTTTCTTGCCAGCACAGCATATGTTGGACTTTGCACACCTGAATTCTTTCCTTGTTCCTTTCTTACCACTGGTTAATGAGATTATTAGTATGACTACTCATAAGGATAACAATTTCAGCCCATTCCATGGAAGAAGCGGAACATCTATGTGATCGACTAGGAATATTCGTTGATGGCAGCTTGCAGTGCATTGGAAATCCCAAAGAGGTAATTCCAAGCTTTTAATAAATTTTTGTTAATTCTGTATATTTCTATTGTTGATGCTGTGGTGCGCCACTGTGGGGAGATTCTGGAGTCAGACATTCTTCTGATACTAATAATAACAATATGTGCACATAAGTAAGAATGAAGGAAAATGGAGACTTTGTAAGCTTTGGAAATTAATGATTACCAGGCTGAGTCAGTATATTGCTCTTTTGACCTTCCCATTTGCTTCTTTTTAAGTAATTGTCAAACTGTTCTCACCATTTCTTCTCCTGTTGGATAACAGTTGAAGGCAAGATATGGAGGGTCTTATGTGTTTACAATGACAACATCATCAGATAATGAAGAAGAAGTGGAGCACATGGTGCGACGCCTAACCCCAAATGCCAACAAGATATACCATATATCTGGGACACAGAAGTTTGAGTTGCCAAAGCAAGAGGTTAGAATTGCAGATGTATTTCAAGCTGTTGAGAAAGTAAAGAGTAAATTCACGGTTTATGCTTGGGGTCTGGCTGATACAACTTTAGAGGACGTTTTTATCAAGGTTGCTCGCGCTACTCAGGCTTTCAATGTTCTCTCTTGACACTTATGGATCTTTTATAAAAAGCTTATGGATCTTTTAACACATGTTTGAGAACAAACAATGGTCAAAATAGCACGGGCTAGTCACTTTTTAGACGGGTAATCGAAAATTAGCCAGCATTTGCGTAGTCATTGGAAGGTCAGGACACGGAAAGTTACAGCATAATATGCAGGATTATTGAGCTCCTACATATAAACTTCCAGCATATTATAATGAAATTCCAGCACATTATAAAATTTTAGCATAATATGCTGGAAGCTCATATGTAAAAAAATCGAACTCCAGTATATTATGCTGGAATATTTCTGGTTTAACAGTTTTTTTGTTTAGGTTTTATGTTTACATGAAAAGTGACTAAATTTAGATTACTTTAGAAATTGTGACTATTTTTCAATTATCAGCCGTAGCTATTTTTGAATTTCACCCCAGACAATGGCGTCGGTTTGAAAGAATGAGCCAAAAAGTCTTGGTGTTAGACCTATCTATCACCCACGTGTATTGACAAATTTCTTTCTTTTTAGAAAAAAAGGTCAATACATGGGTGATAGTTTTTCTATGTAAAGGCACACTTATTAATTCGTAGTTCTTATTTGAATGGTTGAATGGTTCACTTTATTGACAATGCCATCTCCATGGTGAGCTTCTTTTACAATTGAAAATATATCCTTTGTTGCGTCTATTCCCCATGGTTTTCCCCTTTCAAGGGTCTTTTGATTAAATTTTTATTTTTTTATGTTGGATCTTTATTCAAATTTAGTGTTTCTTCCCTTTGTCCTTGACGTGGTGTTTTCTCCAAAAATTGTTGATTCTCATGTGGATGCACTTACATTTACTATAAGGTGAATGCGAAACAATTGCAAAATATAGATACAAGGAAGTAGCAGGCGAAGCTTCATATTTTAAAAATCTGCTCTACCGGAGAAATTGTCATACAGTGTAGTGCAGGTAATCTCAAGTTTAATTTTATGTTTTAATCATACATTTGAAGTTTGCTGGATTTAATTATGCGTATCATATATATCTTAGATTTTTTCAAGTACATGGTTCTTATTTCAATATGTATGTCGGTTTTGTTCTTTTTAATTTTTACGTGAAAATAGTTGATTTACGATGTTGTCATCATACTTCTAAACGTTTACCTATCATAAAGACAGAAAGGAAATATAATTTTCAGTTGGATTAGGCTGACATTGATCTTTGTAACATAGGATCAGGTGAACAACAAATAAGTCTATGGATTATAATTGGTTTTAGATAAATTTTGAAGATATCGTACTCCAAGAATGTATGGATTACTTTTTTTACATCTTTGATAAAGCAGCAAAAGTTGATTTAAGGCTAAGTCAGTCAATTATTAGGCGTTGCAACGATGTACATGACATGCATATGTTTACAGGCGTACATGACTTAATTTGGTACACATATATCAAAACATAACGACAAGCCAAAAAGGATTCAACTCATTATCGTTTCAGCGTCCATTCCATCAGTTACATGACTCTTACATAGTATGTTGGCTATCAAAATAAATATGTTCAAGGCGAAACACTAGAGAAAAAGTTCCGTCATTCTTGTATTTGTTTTTTAAGAAAAAGCTGATGTGAGATGGTATGTATCACCACATGGTCAGTTCATGGAGAAAGGTAACAAGTTATAGTTTGAATTGCTGTGTTCGATAAGTATGGTGGCCATCAAAAGATGTATACACAGTTCACAAACTCAAAATCAAGTTATAGTTTGTTACGTACTTCCAGCTAGATTTTTTTGCCAATAAGACAATAAAGGTAAGGAAGGTTGGTAGGAACAATATAACAGAGTACAAAGAGTATTTGAATGTTGGTTAAATAAATAAAACACAAAAATAAGGAAATTACTGCACCGAAACACACACTAATATCGCCCATTTATCCTGCATTAGTTGCGGGTTAACAAAAGAGACTTCCTTTTACACACAATATTGATTCGTTATTTACTAAATCCAAAAAAGAGGAGCTTTCCATTGAGTCTTATTCTTTTCGTTCCATTTTATGTTGTTTTGCCAACCAAGAAGCCTAAAATACTTTCAGAAACTTTGCAGGAGGCAAAGTAACTACATCACACGCATGTAAAACTGTTGTAGTATATTCTCGGATATAGTGGTTTCGAAATAAAAGGTACGTTTTTTATGGCTATGAATTCATAAAAAACATCTGAGAGGTCATTGGCTATTTGAATTCGCATTTATCTTGATGCAAATATAAAGTTTGCAACGTTTAAACAAGAGATTGGAATAAGCATGTTTGAGGAGAGAAAAAGGAATAAATAATCCAAGAGACCCTATATTTGCTCAGCTTCTTCTTATGACATTAATCGACACCGTGTTTTAGTTTTTAACTTTTTTAGGAGATTTTGATTTAATGATATGAACACCATATTGCATAAACTTCTACATGTTTCAAATGTCTTATTTTACCTTTTTATAATATATGCTTTTTATAGTTTGTCAAACTGCCATAATTGCTGGAATGAAGTTTTCACATATTCTCCATTTCTGGTTTGAAAACATGACGGAGTTAAAGATATCACTTGCTGCATATTTTTACAATAAGACTTCACCTTCTAATAGTTTCCTTATGTAACAGTTTCATTTTAGGGGAGGTTTGGTGTGGGAGGCAAGGGATGAACAATATAAACTACACTTTCTTCCCTTGTTAAAATCTTATGCATAGTGGTTAAACTTTTACTCTTTCTTATGTTGGTATGGCTTTTTTCTGATGATAACCAGACATGTGCCGCTCGTTTGCAACTTTGGATATCACAGCATGCCCTGAAGAGCAGATAATAAGCTGTAACCAAATTGATAGTGAAGATGCTGATAATGAAAATCAAGACGAATCAGTTGTTGCAATGATTGAAGAGCCAAACTCAGGTATTATATTAAAATCACTTTCTAGATTTCTCTTCCTTGGCTCCTACTTTCCTTGACACCTGTTGTGGTTCTTAAATTCTTTTTTAGTTTTCTGAATTCAGTACGACTTGAAATGCTACTCTGATAAATGTTCAAAAATAGAAAGGACACAAAATATGAAACATAATTGCAATTCCATGAGATATAAAAGGCTTGGTGACGGCTAACCTCTGAACAAATATTACCGCAAATTGGGTGTCCTGCCCACCCCATTTGTCATGGATTAGTTTGGCTCTTAAGGTGGCAGGTTTAAAGGGACATTTGTTTCCATCGTTTAATATCGTCTTTATTATGCTAAGGCAACTTCCATTAGGGAATTTATGAGAGAGATATTGAAACTGTTCTTCCTGGCCTGCACAGGGTAATCAGATTGTTCATAAGTAAATAGGCTATAAGCTAGCTGGTCAATTCTTTTTCACAGATGGCTACTTTGTTATAGGTAGACTACCGGACCATAGAGTCAAGCAGTCAACAACTCGGTCTAAGAGATCTAGCTTAAAGAATTTCCTGAGTTCTATTTTTTAATAGACAAATATGTGATGATTTTTTCTTCAAAGGCTACTGATCCAAAAGATAAAATATGTTCTGCTGGTAATACAAGAAAACATGGTTATTAATGATGCAATAATTAGTATTTCCCTTCCTTTTAAAACAGAAAGTATGATTTTTCCCTACTTATAAATTTAGTGCAAAGGCGGTGGTCAAAATCTCATTTTCCTGTCACTATATTAGTGTTTTTTCTTGAGAGATGAATTTGAGTTGATATTTCCTCAAATATTAAGGTGAGTTGCATTTTTTGAGGAAAATACTTATCCTAATGAACATATTTTCTTGAAAAACAATTGCTTCTTGAGGGAATTCTCGATTTAGCTAATGAGTTTAAATGGCGAGTTTAATCTTTCTTTCAAAGAGGAATCTTGAAGAGGCAATAATGGTAATTGTTTTCCTGAGCTATAAAATTATTTGGACACGGAGACAATCAAACCCTTATCTTGGCGTGGTAAACCCACGATGGTGTGTGATTTGAGGCTTTTCTATCACATGCAACAGGTTCTTTTGCAGCAATGGCGTGGTTTCCTTCTCTTCTCCTTGTAAGAAACAGATATGAGCCTCAATTGTTTTCTTGTTAAGACCTTGTTGAACTCTTAGAAACATAGACCTACGGATTACGAGCACTATATTTCATGTGTGTGCGTTTTAGTAAATGTTGATTCCACCCTGGTGGATAAGTCTTATGATTGGATATTATCATTATTTGGGGTTCTTACCTCTTTGTTTCTTTTTCATCTGCAAATTACTTAGTTACTCATTGAGAAACATTGTAGTGAAAGATGCATTTTGCATTATTCACATTACATTGATATTTTCAGATCTACTATCAAGCGGTCATTGAGAATAGGTGAAACTGAAGGGTACGTAATAAGGAGTAACAACTATTATTGCTGGCGCAGAGCTACCAGTGACACCAATAAGTAACACTGATTGTCAAAGTCTACTAGATATATATAAAACATTAGTGATACCATTCACATTCATATTGTGAAAGTGTGCGTTCGTGGTTTATACTTGCTGGTGCACTGCAAAAGAGTGAATCAACTCATATATATGAAGATGCCAACTCAATATTTTCTATCATTTAAAGAAAATTTTGTTTTCTGTTGAGTGCAATAATATCATACGATATTGAAAGTTGGTTTAATATTACTTAGATCCAGGTTGTTCATATGTCCCTTTTTTTTCCGTGACCATACATAACGAATTGATGTGGTATATTCATATCATAATATATGAACGGTAAGAACTAGCATTCTTATTGAGACTATAACTCATAGGGAAGAAAATCAATTTATGGATGGAATCAGATATGAAGTATTTACAGACAAAAGTATTCGGTTATTTGGGAAAAATCAATATACTTCTAATGTCGAATCAGGATCAACTAGGACAGAAATAAAGCATTGGGTAATTTAGGGAATTATCGATAGGCTAACAAAAAAAGACAATTAGGGATTCATTGGAATTCTCACATTTATTTGGAAGATACTTATTTCGGATGGGTCACACCAATATGATGAACCAAATGAGTTCTGCATCATGAACTTTGTACTGCGCACATTACTTAGACGGGTTCTAGAAATTCATTCTCCTTTTACAGTGTTTGAGTTTATAAAGGGTTTTTGGCAGATTTCAATTTGTCCCATTTGAAGCTATTGAAAAGTATATAACAAGTAACATGTGTCTGTTTAGTGGGATCCCTTGGGGGAATAAAATGCTTCTCCAGCTTACATATAATCATATCTTCTCTCTTTTGATAGTTCTCTTTACCCCAACTTTGCATATCTTCTCTCTTTTGATAGTTCTCTTTATCCCACCTTTGAAGGAAGGGGGTAATTATCTTTCAGTTCCAGGTACTTATCAATCAGTTAAGGACTCCTCCTTAGACAACATCCTCCACATTCAATTCAGCAACAATGATAAATCAAGTGCCTGCAGATGTATGTCATCTGCATAATAAGTTTTTCTTTAGACTTTGCAAAGATGTCAATGTCAGATTTGTAACTGTTATATCAGTGTCTCTCAGCCAAGCAAGGTAAAAGATGATCTCTCAGAGCTTGGAGAAAAAGGATAGCTTTTTCTTAGATGTTGGAATGGTCATTGAAAGTTAGGATTGCTGCAAACAACTCATCACTCACAATGTATCCTGTAGAACTTTGTATCAGAATGCATGAAAAAACTATTCAAGTGTTAACATGTTGTGCACATTGAATCAACTTGATAGTAGTACTTCCTTTCTGGTGATCCTATGAAACACTTCAAATAAGTATGAAATATTTTTTTGGTGTTGAACTTTTTAAATTAATCTTGTGGATGTGCACACAAACAGTAATGTCGGGCATAAGCCCGTGCATTGCACGGGCACCGGCCATCTAGTCTATTATATAGAAATGAGAAGTTGGTCGACCAAGGGTATAAGTATCATTATACCCTCTCATCTTATTGTTTTAATATTATTTTATCTACACTATTCTAGACTTTTCCGTCACTTTCCCGTCAAAACCTTGCATCCATCAAAAACCCCAACACCCTATACTTTTCCAGTCACTTTCATCTACTTTGCTCAGTCACTTTCATCTACTTTGCTCATCTGTAAGTCACTTTCATCTCCTTTACTTTGATCTTGGTAAATTTTTTTCTCATCTCCTTTCCATCTCTTTTCAAAATTTCGGATTTTATGCTGAAATTTTTTGTAGGTTCCATTATTGTTCATTCATTTTTCCTTCTACTTTGAATGCTTTAATTTCAGATCTGAATGTCTCCTACTTTTTTTCCCCAAGAACTAATCTGTCAATTTTTTTCATTTACTTTGGTAGTTCCAAATTCAGATCCGATTTTCCATCTACTCAGTGCAAAAATCGCTACTTACTACTTGTTAAGGGGTATCATGAACACCAAAGAGCAACTTGAAAATTGCCAGTGGGCAAGTACGAAATCATCCATCCTTTCTTGTGTCGAAGACTAGGAAGACAAATAATCCCTCCTAGAATTTTTTGTTCCCCACATTTATCCCCTGCTTCCTTATGTCTAGTATTTAGACAAATTTGACTTTCTTTCTATTTAGAATAGAAAACTATTGATACGTCTTATGGCATTGAAATCTGTCAATAGTAACATAGTCACACTACTCCAATTAAAAAAAAACGAAATAAAAATAATGAAAGTCAAATACTCTTCTTCAAATTCTACATTACATACTCTTTTTCTACGAGATGCTGGGAATCTCTTGTACCACATAGTATGTAGATTTTGAAGAAGAATAGAACCAACAAAAGGACAAGTTTAGAGGTATAAGAATATCAGAAAGTGGAGAAGCAGCTCGAGGTCGTCATGTGTGCTTGCCGCTAGAGGTTATTCTGGTCATTTCAGGTTTAGTCTTTAATTTCTCTTAGAACAGCTGTAGGCATCCTAACACTTACAGCAGCAAAGTAGCCGCCTAGATTATGATCGGCGCTTGTTTTCTCTGTTGGTGGCTCAACGCGTGCACTTCCATTTTTTACATCCGGGTAAGTAACCGCTTCGTATTATCAGTCATAACATTATCTGAAAGTTTCCCTCTCTCTGAACACCTCCTTGCAATCTCTACTTTCTCTCACTGTTATTGTTGCTAATTGCACTTCAATGATTTTTCCTCGCTCCACTGTTATTTTCTGGTGTGTATGTTGGTCCTCATCTTGTGCTTCTTTCATCTTTGATGGCATGTTAGAAATTTGTGTTTCTTGAAGAATTAGGCTTCTGCGTATAGAAATTTAACACGCCAAGGCTTTTGTTCTCTAAGTGTTTGAAAAAATTCTTCAATGAATTGTGCTTCCGGGGTGAGTTTAGTTCATACTAATTCGATTCCATATATTTTCCTTTTGATTTTCTGCTGCGTTTGATTTATGTAATAATGAAGTTTTATACTTTAAAACCTCATAGCATAATGATAATTCCTTTTAAGAAGAATTGTGCTTTTGTCGATTAAATTTTAGAATAAAAAGGGTTCGGCAGCATGTTTCAGACAATTTACCTGTAGTTCAGCAGATGCTCTAATAAAATACATCTTTTCCCTGAACCAAATAATTTAACTTGCTAATTCTAAAGTCATTTATACCTATTTGGCACTTTGTGTTTCAGTAATTGTTACTGTTGATGGTTTAGGTGCACTATTTGATGGAGAATTTGTGATGTTTGTAGCAAAAGTACTCAAGTAAGAACTCTAAGAGGCAACAGCTGAAAGAACGATGATTTTGGTCTATTCGATAATTTTCTCTGTAGAAAACTACTTGGTTCTTTTAAAACAAATTAAAAGTTTGATTCTTTCTTAGTGAAGAACATAGCTTTTTAACTTGGTTGTTCGTGAAATAAGAAAGCCTGTGAAATAATAAAATGAATTATGTTTTCTCTGATGTCTAGAGTTATTAGTTAGCTCTGCTCTGCCCTACTATTATATCCTTTGTTGCTCACATTATTGGTAGCGGATTTTTCTCATTTATGTTTCTTCTGATGTATTGCTCCTGTGCCATCCACGTCACTTTTGATTTTTTTTCCTATGTTTTATCCCTCCTTTCAGTATTTGCTGCTCAAGATGATTATGCTAACTCGCCAATCTAAAGGTACTTAAACAGTTTCATATATGGCACAACATAAATTATCATTTGGAGTCGAGATATCCATCAGTTCAACAAGACAACCATGAAGGTAAGTGTCCCAGTTAGAAGTTAGAATTGTATACTCATGCTTTCTAACTTTTGAAGGGGTTATAATTTCTTCATTAGTTTAAACGAGGAATTTCTCTTTGTTCTTCCCTTGAACAAATAATTTTGTTAAAAACAAGGTTTGCTTTCGACCATATAACCATTAGTAAATATGGCCCTTCTAGATTACATATCATCAGACAAATTGAAGTATGTTTGGATCTCGATGACCACCTTGATGACATTAGCAAGTAAGATTTCTATTATATAGAAATGAGAAGTTGGTCGACCAAGGGTATAATTATCATTATACCCTCTCATCTTATTGTTTTAATATTATTTTATCTACACTATTCTAGACTTTTCCGTCACTTTCCCGTCAAAACCTTGCATCCATCAAAAACCCCAACACCCTATACTTTTCCAGTCACTTTCATCTACTTTGCTCAGTCACTTTCATCTACTTTGCTCAGTCACTTTCATCTCCTTTACTCATCTGTAAGTCACTTTCATCTCCTTTACTTTGATCTTGGTAAATTTTTTTCTCATCTCCTTTCCATCTCTTTTTAAAATTTCGGATTTCATGCTGAAATTTTTTGCAGGTTCCATTATTGTTCATTCAAACTTCTATCAAGAATTACTTTATATGTTTTTTCCTTCTACTTTGAATGCTTTAATTTCAGATCTGAATGTCTCCTACTTTTTTTCCCCAAGAACTAATATGTCAATTTTTTTCATTTACTTTGGTAGTTCCAAATTCAGATCCGATTTTCCTACTTTAAATTTATATTTTTTTTGGTATATATATATATGTAGGCATATAAATTTTACTTAAATTAAATCCATAAAATAATTTGGACTATATTTTAAATTTAAGATATATTGGTCCAAATAAACATTATGGGCTAATATATAAATGAATTAATTATATAGGTCCAACATATATGGATTAAATAAATAAGTCTTGATCCATTGGGCTAGCCCATTTAATTGGGCTAAAGTGATGAGCGCACTTTACTAAGCCCAAGATGTCATCTTCCTAGAGGCCCAATTTGGTGCCACGTGTCAAATGACGTGGCGCACCAAGTCAAACGGAAGAGCCAATAGGATCATGCCACATGTCAAAATGACAAGGCATGCCAAGTCACACTAAAAGTCCAATGAAATCGCGCCACGTGTACAAGTGACATGTTCTGGCCAATCAAATGCGGCCATGTCATACTTCAATTTGATTGGTCGGAAAGAGTTTGTTCTTATCACAACTCTTCCCTTCCACAACTATAAATAGGGGTCTTTATAACTCAGAAAAGACACCAGAAGTTATAACAAGAAGCAATAGAGAGCTCGTGGATCAAACACCGCAAATTCCTCCACAAACTTCAAGCAATCAAGTTTCAAGCTTCAAGCAATCAAGTTCAAGTTCAAGAAATAAAGTTCAAGATCAAGAACGAAGAACGAATCAAGATCAAGTTCAAGCAATCAAGCTCAAGAACAAGATCATCGTTCGTGAAAACAAATATAGGTTCAAGATCAAGCTCCAATGCCCTTGAATTTATTTACTACTGAAAAGTAGAATCAGAGGAATCATAGAGATTGTACACTCAAATATTCGAAATAAAATACTACGATTGTTGCGATATTTTCGGTCTTGATTTTATTTTCTTGACGCAAATTTATTGTCTACAAATTCTGGCACGCCCGGTGGGACAATCTCTACCTCTCATCTCAACTTTTCATTCACCAAATACCAAGAACATTGAAATGGCTTCAAAGAAAATCAACTCCGTTTCAACTTCCACCAAGGCTGCTAACTCCAGGTTCTATGCTGATGTGGAAAGCATCCTCGATGTCACCTTTGGAAGCTTCGGACCAGTTACAAGGAGCAAAGCAAGCTTTTTAGGACAACAAGCACCCCAAGTGCCGTCCGCATCAACCCCTGTTTTCGGATCTTCATCCTCAAAAGGAGCAAGATCTGCCACAAACGCATCTGAAGGAGGAAGCGATGTTGCTGAAAAGATCAAGAAAACTCTTGCTCTGCTTGACCTCTCCAGCTCCAAGGACTCTGCTGTGAAGGAAGATGATGATGTTTCAAGTGATGGATCCTCCCCGCTTACACCACATAGCGTGAGCCAATCAAGGATCAATCTGTGTGGAAATCCATGCTACTCTCCGTCATCCACGACAATCATGCAAGCCATGGTGACAAACACTTCATCCATGGAGGAGCAGTTGGCAAACTTGACAGAAGCAATCGCTGGCTTGACCAAATGCATGCAAAATCAAGAGGCCAGAATTGACAAGCTAACAGACAGGGAGGGAATTCTGATGGAAGAAGAATCTACCTATGCACCTGGCAAGCTCCCAGAGGTTCTAGAGAGCGACTCTCCCCCAAGACAAGCATCATCCACTAAGGCTATCCCTGTCTCATCTGAAGGGATGATTCCAATCTACCAATTGAAGGAACCATTAAGAACAAAATATAAAATTTGCTGCCAAATCCTCCCTTACGTATGCAAAGCCGTACACTTCAAGGGTCGATATGTTGAAGATGCCTTCTAGCTATCAACCTCCAAAGTTTCAATAGTTTGATGGTAAAGGTAACCCAAAGCAAC